CCTTTTGGACAAGGTCATTCGCCTTTAAGGTGTGTTATGAAGTGTATTCGAACACCTGTTTAGTCAATTCCCGTGTAGGCTTAGCAACAGGAACTGTGAAAATTAATCACTCTTGAAATTTTTGGGATTTGACAATTGTCTAACCACGAAAAGTTGTCAAATTTCAGTTTAAATTTTATAAAATGTACATTTATATTGCACTCTTAAGTCGAGTATTTATATTAAACTGTCACCGCTCAAAGTTTTACTTGGACCGTCCAAACCCACAGCCGGCGAAGTGACGGTATCCAGACACATGTCGACGTATATGGGCAATCACACCACCATGCCCTCGGTAGTAACTCCGGGGCTGCGCTACAGGAATCTGGGCAAATCGGGCCTCCGCGTGCCCAACATTGGCCTAGGGATGTGGACAACCATGAGCGAGGACTCCGCCGAGGATATCATCATGACAGCCCTTGAGAATGGAATCAACCTGTTTGACCTCTCTGAGGCGCACTGCGGTACGTAAACGAACCCGACTGTTTTGTGCACGAACATTCGGAGATTACTTCAAACGTTTGTGTGTGTGTTATATGCACGTCTGCTATCTCTATTTATCAATACTTATAAGAATATTCATGCTGCGACATACTGTTACATTGAAGTGCCTCCTGTTAGAAATCTTACTGTGTCTTGATAGAAATCAAATAAAATTGACGCCTTTTTATTATGGTCTATTTCTTTTTCATAAAAGCGTAAAATGTATGTATCAGTAGGGAGGGTCTACAGTAATAACTGGTTACTGGGTTGGAAGTCTAATGGTTACTACCAAAATTATCTTTTTAATAATATTTATAGTTTGCAAACGAACTGGAGGTTAACCTGACGTTAAGTGATAACCACCACCCATGGACCTTTGCAACACCTGTAGGGTTGCAAATGCGTTGCCTCCTTTGAATAAAATGGGCTCGGGCTACCTCACTCATCAGACGAAACGCAGACGTATAACACTTGACGCCGGTCTTTGTGTAAGGTATTGGTACCACGCCGGATGGAGCTGACCGCTCGTGCAACATCGCAAACTGTTGCGTAGCCCTAACACGTACGCGTTTTTTTTTTAAATACAATAATATTTGGATTCATCAATTAACTAAGCTAAAACGTTTCTATCCGCTTTCAGCCAAAGGTGAAGCGGAATTAGGAAGGATTCTCAAGAAACGGAACGTAAGGCGGACCAGTATCATCATAACCACAAAAATATACTGGAGCACCAAGTAAGTTTGAGTGGGACATGTAAACACCTTCTTGCACTTGAGGAGCAAACAATAACAACTTACGCACTGTGCCAAACCAAGTGTTATTAATAACAATTTAGTCTACACTAATTTTAATTTTTAGCACTGTTTAGATACAACTCATAGTAGATTATACTAAGAGTTGTGGGAATATATTAACTTTTATATCTTCATATCTGCTTTCGTGATTATGTACCATGTAATTTTCAGATAATATGTAATCTCCGAAATATGTATGTTATTTGCCTTAAAAAAAAGTAAAGTCACAGCCTATAAATATCCCACTGCTGGGCAAAGGCCTCCTTTGTAAAGAGGGTATCAGAACATAATCCACTCATTTCGAAAATATGCAGGTTTCCTCACGATATTTTCCTTTACCAATGTGCACGTGATAGTTCAGCATAGCAGATAATAATTCAGCACTTAAAATTAATAATTTCACTGGCGCCGGCACCGGGAATCGAACTGAGGTTGCTCGAGTATATTGAATTAAAGGCGAGCGCCCGGACACTGAGCTATCACGACTTGTTATTTGCCTTATTTAATAGAAATCTAGGTATTGTTTGCTTCTCTAAACTACAATTTTTAATTTAACCTTATCTTAAAAGCCAATCACTAACTAATACTATAACATAAATTAGTTTTTCTAATTTTTTTATACTTTTGAGGCATTTTGCAAAACTAACTTTAAAATCAGTAACTTTAGAAAGTATGATTCATTAAAAGCTTTTGAGTAAAAGTAAAATTAAATGAATTGGGACCTCTTTTAAACTGTCATAAATCAGTTTTTATTTATAGCAGTTATTTGAAATAAAATGGTAGATTTAGCAATACATACATTCGAATATACCGATGTCCAGATGTGCTGATCGAGAGACATTCTAAACGTTAGGTTAAATTATGAACTTATAAACGATTTATAGTAAGCAATAAAGCTCTATAAATCAATCATTTTCATGTTTTTTCTTGGACACATTTTTTATATGTGTGTGAACAAGTGAGCTGGCGATTCACCTAATGTTAAGTGATAATCGCAGTCCATGATCATTTGGAACACCCGTTGATTTATATAAACACCCAGACACTAGAAAAACTATGTTTATCACACAGTAGTGGGGATCGAATCCACACCCTCGGGCGCAAGAGACAGGGTCACTATCCACTATGCCATTTATCTCTTAAACACGCATTTAAGCGATTATATTTATATGAATTTGAGGGAAAATCTATGCGGAGTTTAAAATGGGTCTCAATAATTTTATAATAACGACAAATAACGTCGAATCCATAACTATAACAATTTTAATCGATAACATTATTTGCATTTTTACCATTGTCATTAGCAATGTTATTAATAATAATATCATTACATTTCCGTAGCTCACACGGGTCAAAACCGACTCGGTCGGTATCAAGGCCAGAACACGCTTTCATCTTGCTTAAACCCCATAGCTTTAATACACCTAGTACCAATCGCTCGCAGCAAAACAAATAAAGCTTATGAACATGTTATTGGTTTCAACTGTTAAATTATTATCTATCAGACTAAATACAGTTTCGCAATTTTCAAAAATAATAATTGCATCAAAGTCTAAAATAAAACACACTTAGTTTACGTGCATTTTAATTTTGAGGAAACTGTTATACTCACTTTATGTTCTATATATCTTTTGATGAAAACAGTGCACGTGGACAATAAAAAGGTGAAAAGTTAAACTTATCCCCAGTATTCCCAGGGTTCTATCGTGCCGGAGGAAACGGTGCACTATGCACGTGCTTTCTAACGTAACATGAACCGCTGTCACTGCCGCTGCGAGCGTCCCCCTGTGCCTATGGATGTACCGCTTGTTGCTAGTTTATTATTATTTCTCCGCGTCCGGCACCGTTCTCATGTTTCCTTAAACGCTGCAGATCGGACGAACGCGGCCTATCTCGAAAGCACATCATCGAGAGTGTCAAAGCGTCGCTGGCCCGTCTCCAGGTGGAATATATTGACGTGGTTTTGTTGCACAAAGTGGACCCTGTCTGTCCTATGGAAGGTAACGTACACGCAGTTGCACTGTCTTCGTTTATATGTAAGAGCGATTTTGAATCATATCCCTGCGTTCACTATTAATGCGTTAGCGTTCAATTTTGGTTTTGAAATGTCGGGGAACTTAATGGGAGTATCTCTTTATTTTCAGAGCTAGTTCGAGCCATGAACTTCGTGATTAACCAGGGTTGGGTAATGTACTGGGGCACAGCGCGGTGGTCACCATCAGAGGTAATACTTTTACATCTTCATTATATCGATTTTGTCTTGATCTCAAATTATGTGTACTTGAACATTTTTGTATTCATGCTGTGCATTGGTAACAGATTTTTGAAATTTTCTGATGTTCTCGCTGGCGTTATTCGCACTCTGCGAAATCTTTTCGACACACAACACGAACACAGCTCAGCGACTACTCATGAATGCATATTATAAGTACATTGTCAATGATTTGTATATGCCATTGCTAGCTTTAATGTTTTAATGTAATTGGGCCATTTATTTTGATATTTCTTTCCAAGTATTAAAACCAATTAGAATGTATTCCCACAGATAATGGACGCATACACCAACTGCAGACAATTCAATTGCATCACGCCTATTGTAGAACAAACAGAATATCACATGTTCTGCAGAGAAAAACCAGAACTTTATATGCCTGAACTTTACCACAAGATAGGTGTTGGTAAGTAATCTCATAGATTGTTATTTTGAGATTGTGTTGTTAAATTAATTACAAAAATAACTCTTCATATACTGCGCGCATAAAATCTTAAACACAAGTTCAACGTGATACTAGTATATACATACTTCGGAGGTTTTTATTTATGTTTATTTTATGTGAAAATTTGTCTAGAAAACAGGTGGACCGTCATCTGATTTTAAGTGATAACCACCGCTCATGGATATCTTAATTTCACTTTACTTTATCAGCCATTAGTGTCCCACTGTTGGGCAAAGGTCTCCTTCCATTTCTGCCACTTCTTCCTGTCGTGGGCTATATCGGACCAATCCCTCACAAATGCTTCCTAATATCTTAATTACACGTAAGAAATTACTGGTGGACGTAAACGGTCTACTTCTAAAACTTTACTCAACATAAGAAAGGCAAATGTATAACAATTGCACTTAACGCTTCTGGGCTAGTCATCCCTATTGTGCAACAGCTGGCTTTTGCCACAGAGAGTCGTGTACGTGACCAGTAACCATTTGCCACCAGGTATGATGGCGTGGTCAGCTATCACCACCGGCAAAGGACTCGGCCGCGAGGAGATTACCGGATTGTTCGCCAAGTCGCGTTTCAACAGGAAATACAGCACATTCAGCTGGTGCGAAGAGGACCTGGCCGTA